GTTTAAGAGGCACTCGGACAATGCCCTTAATGGCATGCTTTAACTTTTGCTCAGGCAGTTGGACTAGATGATCGTTGTAGGTCCCTTCCAACTGAAAATACGCATTTCCATGCTATTCTCTTTCCCGCTCATCTTTCCAGGTTCCCAAGGGAAGCCCTGAGAGTGCTATCAGAGTGACAGCCTGTGCTTCTGCTGTGGAGTGTCAAAGGGAGATGAATCCCACTCGGAATGACTTTTATTCAGGTCTCTTAGCTGCCCATTGATGCAAAAGCCTCCAGGAGCATCTGGGGATGATGTTGGGGTGCTCCTGCACTCTGAACGATGAGTGATGTGAAGAGAATGAAGTAGTGGTGTGCTTGTGTTTCTTCTGTCCATGTATGTGAGCAGGTGTTCTTGCAACTGACAGATTGTTGTCTTGCCTTTCACAGAGCCCAGTGCAGTTATTGATCTCAAGGCAGAATATGTTGGCAAGAATTCTGTCAACTTAACATGGGTGGTGAACGACACTGCTTCCAACTCCTACACGTACAGGATAGAGGTTGTAAATGGTACCTCTGTCTGGAACCTGACGTCCAATGTCACCGAAGCCAAAATTACTGAGTTGCTTCCTGGGACATTGTATAATTTCACAATATTTGCAGTAGTGGCTGATGGTCTGACGGAAGGAGAAGGATTATCCATAATATGGTATACAAGTAAGTCACAGTTCCTTGCAGCCCCGTTTCTGGTGGAACATATTTTGCGCTGCAGCTTAGGGCTCTGCCTGCCTTGGCGAGGTTTGAAATATAATACAAGCCTTACCTGGGCTGTCGACTAAGACTGGAGTGTTAATGCGTAGAATAAACATAGCCCTGTTTTTTTTGTGGTTTTTTTGTGTGTTTTTTTTTTAAAAAAACAAACACTGAACTTCTTCCAACTTCCCCTGCCCCAAAACAAGAAATCCCCCACAACAAAACAAAAACCAAGCCAACAAAACAAAAAACCCTCCTTCCTTCACTTCCATCCTTGTCTCTTTCCTGCCCACCTCTCTGGACTCCCAGGGGACAGCCCTTGGAACGCTGACACAGTGATGACCTGTGCTCCTGCTTTGGAGTGTCAAAGGGAGATGAATCCCACTCAGAATGACTTTTCTTCAGGTCTCTTAGCTGCCCATTGAAGCAAAAGCCTCCAGGAGCATCTGGGGATGCTGTTGGGTTGCTCCTGCACTCTGAATGATGAGTGATGTGCAGAGAATGAAGTAGTCATGTGCCTGTGTTTCTTCTGTCCATGTATGTGAGCAGATGTTCTTGCAGCTGACACATTGTTGTCTTGCCTTTCACAGAGCCCAGTGCAGTTTTTGATCTCAAGGCAGAATATATTGGTGTGACTTCTGTCAAGTTAACATGGGCAGTGAATGACACTGCTTCCAACTCCTACACATACAGGATAGAGGTTGTAAATGGTACCTCTGTCGGGAACCTGACGTCCAATGTCACTGAAGTAGAAATTACCAAGTTAATCCCTGGGACGATGTATAATTTCACAGTGTTTGCAGTAGCTGATGGTCAGATGGAAGGAGAAGGGGTGTCCATATGCCTGTATACAGGTAAGGAAATGATGCCTCTCAACTGCAAGTAAATATGCAGTTTGTACCCAATTTGCCCTGCTTTTTTACCTTGGCTTTCCAACTTTGTACAATTTCTCACTGTGATATTGCTTTGCTCCAGGTGCCTGTGAGCACGAGTACTAAGTGGCCTTTGGTAAAAGGGAAGAGGACTGAGATTGTATGTGTCTGTGTGTGTGCATGTGTTGCCTTGTTGCCTGTAAAGCAGTTATTTCATCAGCTTGACTGCTCAAGAATATGTAGAGATCCAGCTGCTACAACAGCATGACTTTCTGTAGGCTTGAGAGCTAAGCAGGCCCCCTACAATGCTTCTGGGAGCAGGTTATCACAGCTTATACCAAAGGACATGGTGTGCAGGTACATGGTGGCCAGGATCACAGAGGCTTTTTGTTCTTGACTGTTGTGAGCTCTTCGCAGAGTCCCTGGCATGGGGCTCTTGTGGGCTGTGACAGTGCCTAGGGCCACATGGTCGAGTGAGGTGCCGTTTTTGCACCATGGCACCTTTTTCCCAGATCAGAGGGACAGATGGGAGAAGGCTGCTTTTTCTCTTCCTTTTTTTTTTTTTTTTGGGTGTCTAGCTTGGGAGTGGAAAGGGAACAACAGGTAATATCCCTACAGAGCAATTAGAAACAGTGTGTCCTGGAGATGCTACTGAGTAGATGAGCTTGTCTAAGCTGCCTGGGGTAAGTCTTGTCTGCCTAGCGTTGATGCTGAATCAGGCTTGCAGACACAACCCCCCAGGGTGGGTCAGCTGTTGGACCTGCTCAAGGAGCCCATTTCCTTCTCCTGATGTTGGGGAGAGGCTGGGCCGGAGGGCTGATATTAGGACTTGGGGGTGCAATTTTAACAGACCAAGATCACCCTGCACTCTGTTTCCTTCCCCGATTTCCATCTCTTTCTCTGGACGCCCACTGTGGAAGCAAATAATTTTAACATGTGAAGTGAAACAAAGAGAATATCCCTCAGAACTCCTGTGGCCTTTCCAGAGATGCTCCAGCCTGAGTGTCTGAAACTGGGCATTGATAATGTGGAAGTGCTGCTTGGCTACAAATAATGCTTATTCTGTGTGGAGTAGGGAAATGTGACTGTGGTTCTTCCTTCTCTCTTTCCTTCTCTCTTTCCTTCTCTCTTTCCTTCTCTCTTTCCTTCTCTCTTTCCTTCTCTCTTTCCTTCTCTCTTTCCTTCTCTCTTTCCTTCTCTCTTTCCTTCTCTCTTTCTCTGTCTTGATAGTTTGTTGTCTTGCCTTTCACAGAGCCCAGCTCAGTTTTTGATCTCAAGGCAGAATATGTTGGTATGACTTCTGTCAACCTAACATGGGTGGTGAACAACGCTGCTTCCAACTCCTACACGTACAGGATAGAGGTCATAAATGTTCGGAACCTGACGTCCAGTGTCGCCGAAGTTGAAATTACTGAGTTGCTTCCTGGGATATTGTATAATTTCACAGTATTTGCAGTAGCGGCTGATGGTCAGACAGAAGGCGAAGGGGTGTCCATAAGCCTGTATACAAGTAAGTCACAGTATCTTGCAGCCCTGTTTCTGGTGGGTGCAACACAAGGCTCTGCCTACCTGCCTGAGGGTTTTAATTTAGTACTGTTGCAGGCAGAGGTGATGTTTTGGTCCTGGAGCTGGCCAATCTGCCAATCATGGGATGTTAAAGTACAGAAGCAGCATTGGCCTGATAGAAAGCTGTTGGTGAAGTTTGTCTCCAAGGCTGACAAAACTAAGAGGAGATTTTTCCCTGAGAACCTCTATCTTCTAAATTTGGGAAAGATCTTGGTTTCTTTTCCTAGAGGATGTTGAGCCTCAGACCCTTATTTTAAGGGGTTCTTACACAGAGCATATTGCACCGGGAACTTTTGTGATTTATGGGCCCATAGGTGCCATTAGACTGCAGCAGGAGAGAGAGATTTAGGCAATGCTAGTTCAGAAGAACTGCTTTGGCCATCCAGCACCTTGCTGTGTTAAGTATCAAAAGTCTTGACATGTGGCATTGGAAGGGACCATTTTGGAGCTGTCCTGCAAAGCTGTGTCCCAGCCTGGTCATTCCACAGGGTGTATCTGAAAGGAAACAGATGCCTGTTCTTGTCATTTTGTGTTGTCCTGAAATGTACCTGTGTGCTTCTGCCTTTCCAGTTGATGCCTGAAATTCTCTCCTGTGCTGCCTGACTGTAATGGCTGCTTTCCCTGTTATGAAGATGGTCTCTGCCTTAGGAGTGAGCTCAGGACATGAGGGTTGGAGAAGGAGCAGAGTGCCTGGATCATTACCTCTGTTCCTCTTCCAGTGATATCTGATGTTCCTTACCTTTTGCTGTGCACAGTTATTCCGCCATCTTTCCCCACTATTCTTTACTCCTTCCTGCCCACCTCTCTTGATAGCCAGGGTAAACCCTGGGAGTGCTGGCACCCATGATTACCTGTGCTCTTGCTTTTGAATTTGAAAGTAAGATGAATCACACTTGAAATACTTCTTTCTTGTTTTTCTTTTACCCAGCCATTGATGCAAAAGCCTCCAGGAGCATCTGGGGATGATGTTGGGGTGCTCCCACACTCTGAACAATGAGCGATGTAAAAAGAGTGAAGTAGTGGTGTGCCTGTGTTTCTTCTGTCCATGTATGTGAGCAGGTGTTCCTGCAGGTTGACAGTTTGTTGTCTTGCCTTTCACAGAGCCCAGCCCAGTTTTTGATCTCAAGGCAGAATCTGTCGACATGACTTCTGTTAACTTAACATGGGTGGTGAACGACACTGCTTCCAGCTTCTACACGTACAGGATAGAGGTTGTAAATGGTACCTCTGTTAGGAACCTGATGTCCAGTGTCACCGAAGCCGAAATTACCGAGTTAATCCCTGGGACATTGTATAATTTCACAGTATTTGCGATAACAAACAATGGTGAGACAGAAGGCGAAGGGGTGTCCATAAGCCTGTATACAAGTAAGTCACAGTTTCTTGCAGCCCTGTTTCTGGTGGTCTGTATTTTGCTGTGCAGCACAGCGCTCTGCCTACCTGCCTGAGGGTTGAAATTTAATATTGTTGCAGGCAGAGGTGCTGTGCTTTGCCTGCCTACAGTCAGGAAGGTTCGTGTGGAAGAGACATGGCCTTCTTTTTTTAAAAAGAAAGTAAAACAAAACCCCTCAAAAACAGCGGTTATTGAAGGTGGTTACGAACCCCTGTGACACAATGTAGGAACTCTTCCCGTGAACCTGCCTCCCTGGTCTGGGATTTGTGTGGGCAGTTTTGCTGCCTTCGCTTCTTGAAGGATGGGGGTCTCAGCCTTATTTTAAAGGGCGCCCACACAGAGAGCCTGTTGTGCCCATGGAGTGTTAGTGATTTGGGAGCCTGTGGCTGTGGTTGGGCTGCGGCAGGAGAGTGAACTTTAGGTAGTGCTAGCTCAGGAGTGAGCTCAGGGCATGAAGGGTGGCAAAGGAGCAGGATGTCAGGGTCATCACCTCTGTTCCTCTTCCAGTGATATTTGATGTTCCTTACTTTTTTCTGTGCACAGATACACTACCATCTTCTTTGTCTACCTTTGCCTGCCACCTTGTATCTTTCCTGTCCACCTGTCTGTATTTCCAAGCAAAACTGGTGACCTCTGCTTGTTCTTTTGAATGTGAAAGGAAGTTGTATTGCACTCAAGATGCCTCTTCCTCATTTTTCTCTTAGCTGCCCATTGCTGAAAAAGCCTCCAGGAGCATCTGGGGATGCTCCTGCACTCTGAATGATAAGTGATGTGAAGAGAACGAAGTAGTCATGTGCCTGTGTTTCTTCTGTCCATGTATGTGAGCAGGTGTTCTTGCAGCTGACAGATTGTTGTCTTGCCTTTCACAGAGCCCAGTGCAGTTATTGATTTCAAGGCAGAATATGTTGGCAAGAATTCTGTCAACTTAACATGGGTGGTGAACGACACTGCTTCCAACTCCTACACGTACAGGATAGAGGTTGTAAATGGTACCTCTGTCTGGAACCTGACGTCCAATGTCACCGAAGCCAAAATTACTGAGTTGCTTCCTGGGACATTGTATAATTTCACAGTGTTTGCAGTAGCAGCTGATGGTCAGACAGAAGGCGAAGGGGTGTCCATAAGCCTGTATACAAGTAAGTTACAGTTGCTTGCAGCCCTGTTCTCATGGGCCCTGTTTTGCTGTGCAGCACAGGGTTCTTCCTACCTGCCCATGGGTTGAAATACAGAATACTATAATACTTGAAATACTTGTGTTGTTTCAGACAAGTACTGCACACGACCTACCCACAGTCAGCGACGTTAATATGTGGAAGGGGATTCTGTGGGAGGTTTTGTTGACTTCTCTTCTTTGTGGATGAGCCTCTTGGGCCCTTATTTTGAAGGGTTCCCACACAGAGTGCATTGTGTGCCTGGGGGATTTCCCCTATTGGAGGGGGCCTGTGGCCACAGCTGGTCTGTGGGCAGCACTGTGCTGTGTGGTGCTCAGCCACACTTGTCTGCTCAGCTCTACAGCAAAGAGAAGGTCGAGGTGTTCTTCTTGCTAGGCACTGTGATTGTTTTCCCCCTTGTTGTGAATATGTGCTGCTGTGTCATTTCCTTCATTTTGTCCTGTTTTAACTGGGGTGAAGTGAATCTGTCTCAGAGCTCCTCGGTGAGGTTTCCCAGAGGTGCCTCAGGATGAACCCATTTAAGAGAGTCTCTGGTACTGTGAAAGTGCTGCTTGGCTACTCGTAATGCCCAGTCTGTCCAAACATGATAGTGTTACTGTACCTGTACTTTTTCTGTCGCTATTTGTCTGCAAATATTTGTGAGCATTGATGGAGTCTCATCTCGACTTTCACAGACCCCAGCTCTGTTTTCCATGTCCAGGCGGAGTATGCTGGTCTCTGATTTTTCCCATAGAACACAGGTGATACTTCTTCTAGCTACACCTACAAGATAAAGATCCAAAGTCATGGTTCCTCTGCTAGACACCACACGTCCAGTGTCACCAGAGCTGTTATTACATAAACAAACCCTGAACCTTCTATAATTTCATCATATTTGTAGGAGGAGCTGTCAGTGTTACTGAAGGAAAAGAAGTATTTATAAAATGCATAGGAAATAAGTCCCAGTCACTCATCTCTATCTTTTAACTAAATCTGTTTCTTCTGGTACACAATTCTGTTTCTCCTTAGTTTCTTAAAATAATACTCCTTTTTAATAACAAAATAATTTAATCCGTAAGTCTTTTACCCTGTATTTGGAAGTACCAGATACTTTATCAAGAGAGGAAATAAATTTGCTGTTTTAAGTTAAACTTGAAAGAGTATCAGTCTTGAAGGCCAAGTTTTATAAGATGTTTAGTTCAGAGGGACCTCTCCTCTCAGTGTTACTGCTACACTATCTTTTTAAATACCTTTTTATATCTGATCATAAGGTTGCGATTTTTATATTGTGTCCTGTATGACTCTCGCACAAGCTGACACGTAGTTGCTGCTCTTAAGGATGGCTGCTGCTGGGTTCTTAATGCAGGGAGCTGATACTGGTTTTCGTATTTGTTGGCCACCGAGACTTTTACATGAATATACAGGGAGTTAGCGTCAATCTACATACTACTCTGAAAGTGTTCTTATAGTAGTATATTCAATGGTTTTGAAAATTTTGCTGATCTTGACCGATGCCTAACCTAAATTTTTCTCAGTAAACCTGCCTGCAGAGGAGTTAGCACAGAAGTGAAATTTAAATAATTCTAAATACTTCTCTTCCTCATAGGGCAGCAAGTCCTTCTAGGCAGCTTCATATTTTTATAAGTGTAGAGGAATACTGAGGTTTTACAAACATTTATACACAAAACTTACAAATAGACAGCTTTTTCTATTTACTGCAATACTTGATTTCTTACTCCTTTTTTTTTTTTTTTTGGGCAGCTCCTGCCTCAGTGAATTCATTTCAGTGTGAACCAGTGGCCAAGGAGTCTTATCTAATGCTGAAGTGGGAATGTCCTTCTGGTAACAATTCTGGCTTCAGAATTAAAATACATAATGATACATGGGCAATAGAAGAACAGGCTCCATCCTGCGTGAAAGAAGGCTCAGAGGAAACTTTCAGATCAGCTTCTTTAGGTTATTTCAGCACCTATAATGTTACTATTGTAACTCTTTCAAATAGTTCTGAAAGCTCTTCAGTGCAGAAAATGTGTACTACCAGCATTACTGGTAAGCATTAAGATTTGAGAACGAAATCTATTCATAGGACCAAAATATTAACTTCATGTGATTGCAGAATGCTAAACTTGATATGCAGTACACTATAAGCCTACAGATTATGAATAAAACACTATATTAATGCAAAGTTTAATGTGATACACAATAAATATGCATTATATGAGTGGTATCAGTATTACAGCATTTTCTTGTTTGGAAAATTTTTCTTTATCAGTCATTAAGGTACTTTAAAATATTTCTGCTTATAGACCCACCTGCTCCAAGCAAAGCTCCTTTAGTCAAGGCAGTCAGTCACAGCTCATTGTCTGTTGAATTCCCTGATTTTGAGTCAGTGAATGGACCATTAAAAGCCTATGCAGTAATGATCACAACAGAAGAACAAGGTAAGATGTTATGATACTATCTTGTAGCTATGTGAAACAATTTATCAGACAGCATTATGTTTTAAATTCTAAATAGGTGTTAAATGGATAAAGAATAAGCTGGCTCGGTGTTTTCAGTCACCTTTCAAAAATCATGAGGCAAACACCTTGCTTGCTTGAAGTCAGATCACTCCTTGTTTTCAGAAAGCCACTGTTGTTACTCAGCCTTTTCCAGCCTGACTTATCCTTGTACATAAGTCTCATCTGTATTGCCACTGTGCTGTTGCCATGTTCATTTGCTAGTGATTCCTCCCACAAGATTGTGTAGTGTCCTTTTTTTTTTTTTTTTTTTTTTTTTCCCCCAGAATAATTGTCAGAGCTACTAATATAAGCAGCTTTGGAATGTGGGATGTTTTTCCCCCATCCCTTCTTCAGCTGGAAGATTGCTGCAGTAAGATCTTTAAAAAAAAGATTCACCTTGGTGAATGTCTAGAGATAAACCATACAATTAAGGAACTTACCTTTGCAGTGTAGGTTCTAATTGAACTTCTTTTCATTTCTGCCAGTGCACTGGAAGAATAAAGCAGTTGATGGAGATAGTTTCCCCCAAGTGGGATTTGACATTCAGGCTTACCTTTTGTCTTAACACTGCAAATTCATCTCCCAGGAGTTTGACTGTAGATCTTTCTTCAGTGGTTTTCCATACAGTATATCTCCAAGAAATGCCCATATATATATTTAATGTAGTATATGACTGCAGAAAGTTCCTGGTTTTCACATGCCTACTCAGCTGCCCCAGAGTTCGTGATTTGAATGTCAATCTCTTGCAAGCAGCAACAGCTCTGCTTGTACCTTCAGCCAGTCCTGTTTAGTCTTGATGAGATTCAGTGCGTTCTTCTGTGTGGTTTTGACTGCAAGGTATTCAAGAAAGACGACTTTCAAGATATGATTGAGACAAATAAGGAAGATTGCCTGTATTTATAATATAGAATCATAGAATCGTTTTGGTTGGAAAAGACCTTTAAGATCAAGTCCAACTGTTAACCCAGCACCAATATAGAGTCTGAGTGTTTTGGTAGGAGCATAAAACCATCCTTATGGCCAAGCATCGCTTCAGCTTTGTAGTGTTGAAATAGCATGAATATCTTTGAGATGTGTTTCTCTGTCTTAAAACAGACATCATTACCTTTAAGATAGACAGAGGGGACTTTATTCAGTTGTGTAAGCAATGGTGTCTGAGGCTGTTTGAGATGTCCTAGGGTGATATCCAAAACGAGCTGCAGCTATAACCTGGGGTGTACATCCTTTTGGAATGGAAACCAGGGACCAGGCAGGACATATAATGTCTCTCAGATAGTATTGAACACCCATTTCTAAGAGTTAACTGCAACCTCAGGTGCCTTTAATGTCACCAAACTAGTGCTTTAGAAGAGCTGTCTTGCACCCTGTTCCTGCACAGTTATAGTTGTTGAGAGCTTTGCTGCTGGTGGCAGTGAGTCACCAGCTTGCTGCTGGCAGATCAAACCTTATCTACACAACTGTAGGAAACTTACTATAGTTTTTCCACCTTTCAGAGCACCTGCAAGGTTTCTCCTTTCTAAAGGTGAATTAAATACTGTATCTGCTTTTAGAAGGAACTTTTTAGCTCTTTGTAAAGAGCTCTCTACTCTTTGTCAGTAGAGAGCAATGCATGTGAACTTCAGTCTGTTGTGGTTTTGCCCCAGCCAGCAGCTGAGCACCACAGCCGCTTGCTAACTCCTCCCTCCCGGGCAGGATGGGGAGGAGAATCGGAGGAAAAAGGTAGAACTCATGGGCTGGGATAAGGACGGTTTACTGGGACACAAAAGGGAGAGGGAAATAACAACAGCAGTACTTAGAATATACAAAATGGGTGATACACAATGCAATTTACTGACCCAATGACCAACTAGACACTCAGCCCACACTCAGACTGTCCCGGAGCTGTCCCGCCCCTCCCCGACGAGCCCCCCTTTTATGCTGAGCATGATGTCATACAGTATGGAACACCCCTTTGGCTAGTTAGGGTCACCTGTCCTGGCTGTGTCCCATCTCAGCTTCTGGTGAAAACTAACTCTGTCCCGGCTGAAACCAGGACAAGTCAAATGAGCAAGATTCTTCTTCCTCCTGCAACACTTGGAATATTTACATCAGTTTGCTTGCTCTTGCAGTTTGCTTGCAGTTGTTGGACAACTGGTAATTTGAGCTTGTTCATTACCTCTTAGATCGCGCGTGCCTCAACTGTATAATCTGTCTCAAGTTTCTAGGGTTCACCTTCTAATGACAGACACTGTAGAGTGATGCTGTTCTGCAGATGGTGTCCTGTTGGTAACTGTTTGGCTGTGGTAGCCCGTTCTTCTTAGCCTTCTGGAAGAGAAGCTGTTCTGATCACTGTTTTGTCCGATGCTTGTCTATATCAAGAGAAGGCAGAAATTAACTCTTTCTTTTCTTAGGGTTTAGGTGTGAGACTTGTTGTAAGACACAGCAAGGAAGTATAGGTCAGGATGAGTTTCGTGTCACCCTGAATGAGGCTTGGTGCTGTTTGGGTAGCACAATGTTACCAAATAGCAGTTGACTTTTTTCTACACTGTTTGCATTGTACTCGCTATATATGATAGTTTACAGAGTGCATATGTACCTTTACAGAGAAGCTCTACTATACATGGTAGAAATAAAATCAAAAGGAGATTAAAACAAGTAACACTGGGGAGTGGAGAGTTAGTTCAGTAAATTGTACTGCAGTAGAACAGATTTCTCAGATTGCCTGTTGCACTCAGCCTTTCATTTCAGGCAGTACTTTTGGAGTAATGACAACTGTGGTTATTGTGACGCACTGTACTACCATCGCAGCCACTGTGCCGATTGATAGAAAATCAGTGAATGATGTATACCAAGTATATCCTTGTTTTTTCCTGAAGGTTGTGAGGCTTTGAAGTTTAAATTGAACAACACGTACAAAGATTTTGAGAAGAAGATGACAGACACCTATGTAACATACATCATAGATACAGAGCAGGCAAAATCACCTTCTCTCCATTCTCAGAATCATACAAACATCGTTAATGTAGGCAAGGGAAACACAATGCATGGCTACGAAAATGGACCATTGATTCCACGTCATTCGTACAGGTATTTATCTCAAACCTCTGTTTGGTTAATTTTGCTGCAGCTGAAATCTAAAAGATCATCTAATGAAAAGGTTACGGATCTTGCTTAAGGCTGTTAGAACCATGTACCTATTTTCTTTTTTTCTTTTCCCTTATCAACAGGGCCAGTGTTGCAGGTTTCACTAATATAACCTTTACTATGGCCAACATCATTGCAGGGGAAGAGAGTTATGTATCATTTTCACCCTGTTCTGAGGCGGTTTTGCTACCCCAGGATCCAGGTATAGTTAATGTCAAATATAGAACTGGCGGCTTTGCATATACACGGTGTGTGGAGATTCCTTAATTAGGGCAAGTTTCATAATAGCAAAACATACTGTTGTGGTTTAACTTGACAGGCAGCTAAAACAACCACACAGCCATTTGCTCATTCCTCCCTACAGTGGGATGGGGGAGAGAATTGGGGAAAAAGAGAAGTAAAATTTGTGGGTTGAGATAAACACAGTTTAATAGAACAGAAAAGGAAGAGGAGAATAATAATGATAAAAGAATATACAAAACAAGTGATGCAGAGCACAATTGCTCACCATCCGCAGACCACCAATGCCCAGCTAGTTCCCAAGCTGCGGTCCCAACCACCAGCTAGCTTCCCCCAAGTCATATACTGAGCATGATGTCATATGGTATGGTATATCCCTTTGGCCGGTTTGGGTCAGCTGTTCTGGCTGTGTCCCTTCCCAGCGTCTTGTGCACCCTGAGCCTACGTGCTGGTGGGGTGAGAAGCCAAGAAGGCCTTGACTTGGTGTAAACATTCCCTAGCTGCAACCAAAACATCAGTGCGTTATCAACATTATTCTCATCCTAAATCCAAAACACAGCACTACTAGCTGTGAGGAAGAAAATAAGCTGTATGCCAGCCAAAACCAGGACACACTTGTTCGTTTCTCTGTGATGGACTGTTTCTTTCTAGCTTTGCAGTGACACTGCTCTGTAAATTCATACCTTGGTAGTTCTCTGGGTGACCTCTTTTTCCATGTATGATTTCCACCGTGGAAGTAACCAAAAGCCGTGCTACTCATGGCACGCTAAAAGGGATTGGACGGTGCACTAGACTTTGGTACAGAAACAAGTAGTAGAAAGCAGCTAATGTTCTAACAGTTCTGGTAAATTAGAAGCGGGTATATTGGAATGCAAATACTGGTCCTTTGATCCCAATTTTTTATTAGTTTATCATCCTTGGTTTATTATTCTTAATGAGCTTTCAATACTGGTACTGCCAGAGGACAGACTAAAGGAAAGATATTTAGTAGGGTGGAGTGTGCTCTGTCACTTGTGAGGTTCTCTTGTAGAATGTTGGTTTAGTTAGATCATTACCAAGAGGTAAATCAGTAATGAGTAATGCTTGTTCTCTTTTATCAGGTGTTATTGCTGGAGCTGTCATTGGATGCCTTTTAGCTCTATTGGCTATAGCTGCTATCGGGAGTTTCATATTCTGGAGAAGGAGAAGGTAATGTGTGTTCATTATTGTGTTTGTTGTGATGAGGAACACCAGTGTTTCACTTCTGTAACTTTCTCCTAAAAAGGCCTCTCTTTCTATTTTATACACTTTTGTCATGATGCTTTAAAATACATTCTATTAAACATCTTTTTTGTATGTTACAAGTTGATGTATCAAGCTAGTTAAACGACTTTGTTCAACTCCATACAAGCTAATGAGTTCAGAATTGTTTTGTTTAGTTCTTCTGAATTCATGCATGCTGATCAAGTAATTCAGTCAGAAATAAGCGAACATCACAAATTATTGTGCTAAAAGACATATATAATTGTATCTTAGATGGTTTTATTTTAAAGTATCCATTAATCACACTTTTTAATTGTTTGATGGCCTATCAAATGAAACTTCCATCCTGGAGTTTCCAGAAGCTGATGAGTTGCTTAGGGTTTGAGCTGGTCTCTCCATTTCCAGTCTTTTCCAAATAATCTGGGACTTAAGAGTCCACTAAGGCTTCTTCCTGCTTCTTAACATGCTGTACATCCTTTCTAAAGAGTTAGCTTTAGGGTCCTTGGTCCAGTTCTATTAGTTTCTTTGATTAACTGCTGTTATTTTTTTATAAGCATGTCGATAGCTGTCGACACTAATGAGAAGAGCTTCCTTTAAAGCTAGGAACGCTTATTTTCATTCACCTACCACATTCAGTACCACTGGCACATCACTGCTGAACACTTACTGTAGGGATTCTGCGATTAGTAGCAATTCTCCTGAGATGTTAGCTGGCAATACAGATCCCTCAGATATACGTCTTCCACCAAACGATGTGCTTTGTGTTCAGGCATTGTACTCTGGTTCCAAAAGAAAGAAACAGTCCCATTGCGCAACATCACTGGATGAAGGATGAAGTATTTTGCTCTTACTCCAGATGTAAGGTTTGCCTCGGGGAGTTTTTTTGCACAGAATGAGATGCTTTAAAAGAAATTGTTCTGAACAGGCACAGGAAATAGCTGTTGTCAGAAATCTCATATGCATGCCATTAAATTCTATTGTGAACCTATTGTGTTGGTTTTTTTTCACCTTACAGGAAAGACAAAAGAAATACTGAAGTGTCCTTTTCGCCAATTAAGTAAGTCCATATTCTTTCACATGTTGTTTTCTGACCTCAAGTGGTATTTGCAAGACTTACTCTGAACCCTGATACTTGTTTTCTGTGCAGTTTTATATAGAATTTTGCAGAATTAATTCATTGTGGAGTTTAAAGACTCCGGCCTACAGACTAAAAATAATCATAATGATCAATCCACAGGGATTTGAGTGTTCACTTCATGAATTGTTATTAGACAAACAAATGCTCCACGTAGTTTAGGATGTTTGAATGAAACGCAGGCTTCCGTGCACGTCGAGGCAACAATCCGAATTGTTGATAAAGTGCACAGAGGCAAAATTCTGCACTGTGGCCTGAATTTTCTTTTGCTTTATGACTACTTTGTGCTGAGCCATTAATTCGGATAATGTTGAGATTGTAAAAGCTGGCCGTGGGAGGGTAACCGAATATATTAGAAGTCCCAGATAGTGCAATTGAATCACATTATTGGTTCTTGCACCAATTTTTGTGCTGATGGAAAGGCACAGCCGGAGCATCACATGGAGTCCCACCTGCATAGGCTTTGGTAGTTGAGATAAAATACACCAGGGAATGGGGCCAATGTGATAGGAGTGCAGAAGCGGCTGACTGACACCTTCCGCAATATTCTTCTCCTGAAGGATGTGTCTCTTCTCACCTTGGTTTAAGAGATGAGTTAAATGCTATGCTTGATATCCTGTCCCCTGTAAACGCAGTTTTGTGGCTGCTACTAACAGTCATGCTTTCATTCTTAGATTCACATAGTGAAAAATACAGCTGCATGTGTCTAATCAACCTTTTTTTCTTCCCCTCACCCTCCCCTGAAGAGTCAAGAAGTAAGTAAAGCATACTTTCTAACACATTAACTGAATTAATGGTTTATTTACCTAATACCAGTTACCAATACATGGCTTTTCTCATTGTAGATCAAAAATGATTAAAGTGGAGAACTTTGAGTCCTACTTTAAGAAGCAGCAAGCTGACTCCAACTGTGGTTTTGCTGAAGAGTATGAGGTATGTGCCCTCAGTGGAGCGAGCTTCATGACAAATATTTTTGGAAAGGCAAATTAGCTTTCCCATGGAGCATATGCGAGGCTTACTGAAGGGGAAGAGAAGGGACATTTATTATAGAGATTATTAAGCCACATACGTAAGCCTTCCCTCCCCTGATTCAGCTCCAAATTTAGTTGAAGTGTATGAGAAATACTTCACATCCCGAACCATTATCTCTCCCTGTGAGCTTATAGCATGGCCTGCTGCTCAGAGCGCTCACCAGAGACAGGATCTCCTGAGTCCTTGCCCTAGTCACACTACAGAGTTAGCCTAGGGAAAGCTATTTAACTTCTCTGCACTTTTTTTTCTCTCATTTTTGTTTTTCTACACAAGAAGACAGGTCTGTTGCTAGTATCAGTGACTTTTTTAATGTGTAGGTGTGATTTGCAAACCACACCTATAAATAGCTTGAAGGAGCAATCAGAAACAACAACTACGATTTCTTAGTGACCATAACTGTTTTCCTATGAAATGTGCTAAAGCTCAATTGTTACAACGTACATACAAAGCCTGTCTCTGGGTTGTAAACCATTCCTACAGTCTGTATTAATCCCTTCTCTATCAGGTTTGCCACTGTCACCCTTCCACTCTGTAGAAAGCTGATTTTTATTGTCGTTTATCCCAGTTTAACATGCCTACTTTTACAGCAAAGGCCAAGAGTGTTTGGAGTATTTCTCCGTTTCAGTCATGTGTTTCTGTATGATTCCTAAACCAGGACCAGGTGCTCACAAATCCCTTTTTTATTGTAGGAACTCAAGTCTGCTGGTGTTCATCAGCCCAAATTTGCTGCTGAACTTGCTGAGAACAGGGGAAAAAATAGATACAACAACGTCTTACCTTGTGAGTTACTCTCTTAGGTTTTGCATCTTCTACTGGTTGAGATTTTAGGTGAAAAGCCTTGGGTTTGGCCAATCTGGCTTTAATAATACCCAGAGGTTTCAGAGAGGGCTAAATGTCATCAGTTTCCAAACGAAAGCATTTGGGCTTCTGCTTTCCAAACATCACTGTATAAGCAAATCTAAAGAGCTTTCCCTCAAGAATGTTCCCTAAAGTTCCCAAACCTTCCCTTAAGAAAGCTCCTTAAAGAACTTTCCCTTAATTAACTAATTTTAATTTTCCATTTGTGAGAAAGTTGCAGTCCAGATTGGAAAAAAACACAGAACAAAAACCCAAGAGGTTAACAGTTGACTACAGACAGATGTGCAGAGCTATGAGAATTAAGACCCTGCTGCCCAGCTTTGCAGACAAACTAAGAGCCTAAGCCCTGCTAGGCTGTTTGTGGGCATCTCAACATAGCAGAGTGTAAGAAGGAACAGGAAGATGAACAGTGCTGAGTACTTAGGGATGCTCTGGAGGAAAAACAACAGCTGCAATGGCAACAGGAGACAAATTGCCTATTTTTTTTTCCAGTAATTAAAACTATAGTGAATTTCATGTTGGATTAAAAATATATAAATAGGCAAAACCAAACCATGTTGTAAAAAAAAATTTATCCTGACCACTCATTTTTCTGAAGGTTTTCATTATAAAAATTATAAACTACTGCTATTTATGATTCCTAAAGTTATATTCTTACTCTTAAATTGTTCTAAAACACCTTTTATTTAGAAACCATGCATTAGATAAGCAGTATCTTCCTGAAAGGTTCTAGTTCTAAAATTCATGATTTTCTTTTCGTTTTTTTCTTTCTGCAGATGATATTTCTCGTGTTAAACTTTCAGATCAAAGCTCTCCAACTGATGATTATATTAATGCAAACTATATGCCTGTAAGTTGCTTCATTAGTTGAAATTAAACGTAATGTGTATTTTTATGATGTAGGCTTAACAGATCATACCGATGTTTAAAATTTGCTTTTTATGTCTCATTGATGCACATGTGTGTGTGTATATGTATTTATTTTGTTTTTTTTCTTCTTAGGGCTATAATTCAAAGAAGGCATTTATTGCTGCACAGGGTCCTTTACCCAATACTATAGAAGACTTCTGGCGCATGATTTGGGAAAAGAATATCTACTCCATTGTTATGTTGACAAAATGTGTTGAACAAGCCCGGGTATGTTTTTATTAAAACTGAACTGTCTCTTGAGGATGGTTCAATCTCTTTTAATTTTGTTGTTACCCTAGTAGGTTGGAGGCTGACCACTTTCTTTTAACAACCATCTGCTTACTGGAAGACTGTTTCCTAAAATAAATAAGTCAGATTTTTTTAGCTTTTTCCCATTTTTATATCCACCGACTACCAGAATAGATTGTCTCAAGAGGGTTTTGGAATTGCCATCTTTAAGGGTGGGTTCTTCTCCCTAAAGAATGATTTTGGTAGAGGTTCTCCTGCCTTGAGATCATTGGGAAGGGTGACATGCTTTCTAGCCCTGCTTCAAGTGGTATGTTATTTAAAACTAACAGTCAGTTGCTCCATTGCTGTGTGTAATGTGTCTAAGCTTGTAACTCTATTCTCAGACAAAATGTGAGCAGTACTGGCCGGACAACGAATCCAAGAAATATGGTGACATCATTGTGACAAAGGTCTCAGGGATTGACCTTCCAGAGTGGACAATAAGGGACTTCACTGTAGAAAAGGTGAGTACCCCCTTGGCTGTTAGCTCTTGGTGTATAAATACTTGTAGAAGTGGTTTGTCCTGTCACTGTGACTTCACATGTCAAGCAACACAGGAGTGACAGAATATAATCATTTCACTAAAATTTAATCAAATTCAAAGTGATCTGAGGCAAAAGGTTTATTTTAATTTGAGGCTTTGAATGTATTGGTCTGCTTTCTGTGAAAAGTCTGATTTAAAACCTTTCACGCTACTTACTGACAACGAGATTTCTGTGGTATTTATGCATATGCATTTGTTCATATGCCCTGGCTTCCCACAGCAGTGTGTTAGTAATGTACCCAGAGGTGGGAATGAGTTGTAAGACCCTCCCTGTGTCAGAAAGAGATCTGCCAGCAAAATCCATCCTGCTAATGGGAATTACTGATTGCCCCATCAGTGACCCTGCAGCTCATGTTTCCCTGAGATTTGCACCAAAACTTGTGCTTATGCAGATAGGTGTAATACCTGCAAGACTGAACCTAGCCCCATCTCTGCCAGCCAATGTAGTGCAGCAGAGATGATCTTGGACTAAAGTGAAAAGTAAACGGAAATTATTTCAAAGTATTCTTAACCAGAGCAGAAGGAAAAGGGAAACTGAAATATCATTTGACCAAATTACTGCAGTTTGTAACAGGCATCTTTAGTGAAGCTGAGCTTTGCCCAGTACGTACGGCAGGAAGCCCTACTGTTGCTCTGCTGAAGCCAGTTTTCTTTTGTTTTTAATGTGTATTCCTCTAGTCCAACACAACGGAGAGCCACACAGTGCGCCAGTTCCATTTCACTTCCTGGCCAGATCACGGAGTGCCAGAGACAACAGACCTTCTCATCAACTTTAGACACCTTGTTCATGAGTACAGCAGTCAAAATCCAATCGACTCTCCTACTCTGGTGCACTGCAGGTAGGAAGAACGTGTTTGTGTTAGACACACTTTTATCTTGTGGCTTTTTAAAGAACAGTTCTTTTTCAGTGTGATTAAAAAAGAAAACATGGAAAAATAAGTCTCTTTGCTTAAGGACGTGGGCTATTCACTGTGATAAATTAAAACCTTTGCCTTGTGGTTCAGAGATGTAGCAATGCTATGCAGGTAGTAAAGTACATAATACAAAATTTCATTAGAACAGATTGTCTCTCCTAGCCTGCAAAATTTAGCTGAAAAAGTTGGCTTTTCAGATGCTTTTATATGTAATCTTGTGCAAGTGGAAGGCTGGGAAACCCAGAAGCATGTCCTCCCTTCTCCTTGGTGATGGTAAGAACCACCCCTCTGGACTGCGGAGACTCGTAATACCTGTGCCACTGAAATAACAGAAAGCATCTTACTAGCTTCACTGGCTTTGCGTCAGGCCACTGGTGAGCAGGTGGTTGAGAGGAAGCAGTAAGAGGCTTCCCTGTGTCATTGCAGTGCTGGCGTTGGGAGGACAGGGACGTTCATTGCCATTGACCGCCTGATTCAGCAGATCGAAATGGAGAATACTGTGGATGTGTACGGAGTGGTATATGATCTTCGCATGCATCGACCTTTAATGGTGCAAACTGAGGTAAGTTTGCAGCGTGTTTTTCAAATGTGCATAACAATCCGGGAAAGGTGGATTCAAGATGTAGCTCAAGATTCAGCTCTTCCTGAATTACAGGAAGATGAGATATTAAGGAGCAATCTGAAATTGTTCTTCATTTACCTGCCCTCCTTCCTGTTTCATCTCTTCCCACAATAGTAGTTGCAGCCAGGGGCTGTGGCACGTCCAAGCAATCTCTTTAGAGTACTTTGTAGGACTGGCATTTGCGGCTGGAAAGAATCAAATCCTGAAAAAGTTGGGGGTTTTTTTGCAGCTTGTTTTGCCCATGTGAGTTTTATCTTTCTGTCTGTGAGCCAGAATTGTCTCAAGTCAAGTGGTCTTGCTGTGCATCTTTTCTTTTGTGTTCCACAGGAACACATGTGTTCCTACTGAAATTATCGCTTTGATCCAAAAAGGCGTGTGGGTTAAATCAAACTGCTTTGGAAAAGGCTGTAAAATCTCTCTCATGAAAGTCTGTTAAGAGGGTGTTAGGCTTGACAGTAAATTTGACCCTAATTTTTTAGAGGGGGGTGATCGGATGATGTCATGAGGTTCTTTCCAGCCCTATTTTCTATGAACTATACGTACAACTTCTCAAAAATACTCTGTGATGACATTCAGTGCAGTGCATCCAGAAACCAAAACCTATACTCAGGAGCAGAATTACTTCCAAAATCAGGTATTTTCTAGAAAGACATTACCCTTCTTTTTCTTTTTCTTCCATCAGGACCAATACATCTTCCTAAACCAGTGTGTTATGGATATTATTAGATCCCAGAAAGACAAGAAAACGGATCTTATTTACCAAAACATGACAGCAATGGCAATCTATGAAAATTTCACGCCTGGGCCAGGCTTCGGGAAGGCCAATGGCTACCACGCATAGTCTGGAAGGAACACAGTGTCTCCACGAGGTGTTACCTGTGCACAGGAAAGGGAGATGTTCTACTCACGCTTTCCGAGCTTGTGTGCAGTGTCTCACGTCTGACTTCTCCAGTTCTGTCCGCATTCGAAGATGTGATCTACAGGAGGAAAAACACAATGCTGGCAGGAGACGCAGGTTGATAATAAAAAAACCCCAACAACCCCAAACAAAACTATTTAAAGTTAACAGAGGAATCTTGCTTTTTCTTGGGAATTTAACAGTGCTGATAGGTGAAATAGCATTTGCAGTATGAACGGTGAACTAGAATTTAAATATTAAAATAATAACACAAGCTTTTTATTACAATTTTATATGATTTCATTTACAGACACCAGGCTTGTGGGCTGTTTTAATATATTTAATTATAAGTTTCAGGAACATATTTTATCTACTGTATCTGGTTACTTAGCTGATTGATATGTGCCTCTGTGATTTTTTTTTCTGTGTTCCTTTTATTTAAAAAGGAGTACGAACAACTCCTTCAAATGGACATTTATACTTGGAAATTGTGCCTTTTCTAGTTGCTACTCTAGAAAAAAAAACAGCAGAGATTCTATTTTTGTACTGAAACTCTTAATGAGAACACAGATTTTTAAATAAGGCTTATGTCAAACTTAACTGTAGTTGCACTGTTGGCAGGACTCTCCAGAAGTTTGGAGGTGAGCTTTGTTTTTGCATTTCACCACAAATATCCCCTGCCTTAATGTTTCGGTGCCTCTGCTAGAGGAAAAGGAGTGTGGTCTGTCACTCCGAGCTTTAACTATAGTAAAAAAATCTGAACAAGTGAATATGTGAATGTGTGTGCGGGGGTGTGTGTGGGTGTGTATGAAGGACAGAATAGCTCCTCCCTGTTCCTGGCTGATATTCCTGTTTTTATACAATTTATAATGATTTATTTAAAGGTGCAATATATGATTTACTGAATAATGATCACTCTATTCTAATAGAGTTTTACTCAGGTTGGTGTCTTTTTATCATTGTTGTTGTTTTTCCTCAAATATATAAATCTGTGAAAATGTCGAACTAAGGTTCCAAGTATCAAAGCACTCCCAAAACAGATTGACTGGCTTTACTGTTTCTACCAAAACAGATCGCACAAAATTCTGCTGTAAAGACCAATTTCTTGGTTGTTTTAGCTATTCAAAACGGAGATACATCTAACCTGCCGGCATCTCATTGATCTAATGTAATTGTTTTATAATTATTTGCAATATACTGCTGCTCTTGTTTTAACTGGTCCTTTTAAAAACAGAACGAACAAGCTGAAAATGCCTAGTTGCTGATTTTACAAGTCAGGGATTAGATTGGATTTATTTTGCTGGTACATAACTGTTAGACTTACGAAGGCATTACCAATGAAGGACTTAGGTAGGGAGTGTGTGTTTTTTGGTCTTTGGATCATTGCACTGGTTGCATTGCAGAGGAGTATGAAGTTTATGAATTATGCTATAGAATAGCTATAAAGTGGTAAAAATCTTATGAAGGTTTAGTAACCAGAGTCCCTGGAATTCTGCTGCTTTTTTTTTTCTTTTTTGGGTTTTTTGTTTGTTTTAGCAGAGTTGTCAGAAAAAGCTACAGATAGTAGGGGTATATGTGGCATTACAGTGGAACCTGGTGACCTCAAAGAATCCACTGTCAGCTGAAGGAAAACATAGGAATTCCTGATGCACGACTGTAACTTTACAGAGATCCAGAGGAATTTTTTACAACTTGGTGTGAAATTGTGGTGTGCTGTGTGAGGAAAACTGGAGGACAAACCACAGTGTGCTTCGGCTTTTTTTTTTTTTTTTTTTTTGTAGCAGCCACTTGTACGTTCTTGAATATTTTTTTGTCTCTCTCTGAAATACTTTAAAAAAAACAAACAAAAAAACAACAAAACCACCAAACATTAATGATCCTGCCCAGCTCCATCCAAACTGGCAGTCCACATAGTGAATCTCTCACCTGGCGTTCTTCCTAAGCTGCTGTCAGATGACAAACCAACCACTTGGACCAAACCGAACCATTCCAAAGGAACTGGGAGGGAAGAAAGTCTGCCCCTTACAGTCACATTATTTTTTTTTTTTAATCTCTTAATCTTTTAATTACTGCACATCTGTGCAGAGCATAGAGCCAGTATTCATTATTCCAAGTCTCCCAAGAACTTGCTGCCTTAGGGTGGCGAATGCTCTCTAGCTTCAGAAGGCCTTTGTTTTGTATAGCACAGAAGAGAGGGAGATGAATCTTCTACACTAGATCATGTGTTTGCATTATATTGCAGCAGAACATCAGAAAACTAGCTAGAATGGTATGTGTTTCTGCCTAACCACTGCCCAGATACTCTTACAGAAAACAAACGTGTCTGTCCCATTGTTTTGAAGTTGGAAGCAGGCACCAAATTCTCACTCATGTCATCATCTAATGAGTATCCATTTTTAATACAACCGGATGCATGTGTTTTCTCAAAAGTGACTCATTGTGAGAAGAGACTGAAGTTTGAAGTAAGTGACCTGCTGATTCCAGGTATAGGTGGAAAAAGTTGGTAAGGCTTAAAATGTTGTAAGCATGAAGTTGGCCATAGTGTCAATGTGAATAAGTAGGACATGCCTCATAGGATATCTCTGTAGGAAGAGGAGGATTACAGGTAATACTCTACCTTGTGGATCTGTCTTGGTCAAGATGACTTGAATTCCTGCAAATAACTTTTCCCTGCCTTCTGACGTTCTCTGTTACAGTTGCCAAGATCTGTCTCTTTGGTTGGTTAGTGTTTTCTCTTGTTGCTTATCTAAAGCTACCCACTTTCCAGGCTGAAAGCTCTACTGTGTGGAAATGATATCTCCTGCATTTCTGTTCTACTCTTTTTCCCATTTGGGGCCTGCTTAAGAAGGGAAAAGTGATGTGTTTCAAATAAGTGACTGTTGAATATCTTGAAATGATGTACAAATTTTATTGTTTTCATATTTGTTGTACAGGAAATTTCAGCACATGTCTATAATGTTTTTAATGGTTTGATTTGTTTTAAAAAATATAAAAATAACAATTAAAAAGCATCATCCTAGAGCACCTTCTGTCTTCTTTCCTTTCTTGGGGTTTTCAGTTCCTCTTGAATAAAATTAATATGCCAAAATACCGATTTCATTTAGAAGGGCTTGAGACTGGATAAGGAAAGTGGCCTCCCATCCTCTAGAGTGGCACTTGGATGTGTATGATGGTCACTGGGGCTCCCTGCAAGGATGTTCATCTGTCATTGAGGCTTGCCTGGCAGGGCCAGGGCCCAATGCTCACGTGTCCTGGCACTTGGTGGCTTCTCTGAACGAAGAGCTTGGTACCAGTTAAAGGAACAATACCTTCATCCAAGGTCAATCAAAAGATTTGTACTCACTGAAGTAGCGTTGGGGGAGGATCAGTGTTTCTAGGACTCATTTACTTCCAGAAAAAACAAGAGGGAGGACTTTTTTGATCCCTTGAAGAGGATGTTCTGTTGTCAGGGGGAGATGATAGAAGGGGGTACAGAAATCTTTTTGTAATGTTATAGCTGGCTTCTTGATTACAGATTACCTGACTGTAGATGCATATAAAATCACCTCAGTTAAGTCCGTTTCTTCTAAAATTCTTAGTTTCCATTGCTGGTTGCCATCTGAATCACTCCCAAGAAGGATCACATGCCTGGAGGGTGATACTGGAACTCAGCAGCTCTGCAGTTCCTCATGGGGTGCTGACACTTATTGTAGCATCTTGTGATCCTCCGTAGAAACTGCTGCACTTTCTGAAATGACTGCATGGTGAGATGGGAAGAGCAAAGCGTGATTGTCTTGTATTCTTCCAGTGGGAGCATGTGCCCGCCACACGATGCTTGTCCAAGTGCTCTTGGTGGGACTCGTGCTGCAGCAGCAAAGCTGTGACAATGAACCTCCCAGTACAGGACCTGCAGCAGGTGACCACCACTGCCAGGGGCAATCAGCCTCAGGAGACTTTTAGGGAGCAAAATTCCTTACTTATTTTTTCCTTAAATCGTATAGGTTTGTTTGAAATACTAGAACTTCAGTCAAGCCAAGTGTTCTGACTGTCATTTGGAGTGTTAATCTGTTCAGGTGGGTAAAGTTGAACCTGTGTATCTGGAAATCGCATTCTGTACCTGTTCTTGTCATTTACTAGTTCTATTGCCTTTGAGACTAAAAAGATGGAGGTCAGAGAGGAGAGGACATAATGTTTCTGTCCTGCTCTTTGCTTCGTAAGTGGGATGTAGTCAGAAACACTGCTGCCCTTGTGTGTCCTTCCTGGCTGGGTGTTACGAGGTGGTGAATGGAGTTTGGAGATGAACAGATGAGGATGTTGTCACGGAAGAGGGTCAGAAATGGGAGTTTGGAAGGGAAAAACACCTGAAAACATTGAACATTCTGCTCTTCTCAAGCAAAAAGAAAAACCATATTAGCGATGGGAAAGATGCTAGCTCTTAACAGCTCCTTGGGTGATCTGAGTAAAAACTAATAAAAAAAAGCAGATGCAATTGCTTTTGTTCAGGGGCAGAACAAAGGGCAAGCAAAGATCAGCAGTTTACTTGCTTCTAAGGTAGGTACAGTGTTCTCCCACTTCTCATGGCCACCGGAGAACTCAGTTTACTTCCTTTTTCCAGATACTGTGGCCCTGCTTCAGGGAGTCCCTTTCAGCTGTTCGCATAAGAGAAGAAACCTTATGTTGTTGAAACCTCTGGCTTTAAATGGTTGCATTTTCAGCACTTTGCGCAAGCGTTTACAGAATTGGTACCAAACAGTGTCTGTCTCCAGTGTTATGCTTCATTCCATACTCCCCCCTCCCAGGCAAACTCTTAGCCCATGCCAGCCTCCTGCCTTCAAGGGAGGAGGTGGTAAACAAAGCAGAAGACCAGACTTGGAAGTGCCTAACAGGAGCTGTTTCCTGCCTGCTTCGCTGGCAGAAGGGAAGGAGCTGTTTGTACATCTCACAAGGGGGAGAAGCTGGGAGCCCCTCCGACCACTTCTTAGATCTGAAGATTCAGGATCCAGGCCTGTTCTTCTTTGTCCCTGTTACTTAGCAGAACCCCATTTATTCATCCAAGTTGCTTTTCCTGGGTTTATTTTATTTTAAAAGACATCATCTCCTGACAGGCAGAGCAAAGCCAGCAAATGAGCTCCTTTCACTGAGAAAAGGTAGTCTAGTTTGATCTAAAGCGAGTTACT